CACACACACACACACACACACACACACACACGGTGTATGTTGCTGGCTAGGCCTTCAATGATCCAAAGAGAACCAGATCAATAGGTATTCTGTATACAGTCGTAGTCATGTCAGTTGGTGTTTGTGAACGTCGCTCTTACACCGGACAGTTATTGTTGTAAAGCCAGAATGCCTCCAGTGCTTTGTAATGATTCCTGTCCTCAGTCAATTAATTTGAACAGCATTCACTCAATCAGTAAAGAGGACAGACCACACCAGTTCAGTTCGTCTAGGGTTCAGGTGAATGTTTGTAAGGATTCCCCGGAGGTGTTCCTAAGATATCATGTTAGCAGCGCAAGAAATGTGGTCAGAGCTACTTTGAGGAGGCATAAAAAAAAAAAAGACTCCATGCACACATCTGTGTCCAGCACTCAGTGTACTTAATCTCTCTTTCTCTCTCTTATCATTTGGGTGCCCAGTCAAAACATCCACAACGTTTTTACCATCCTTTGCAGACTGTTACAATTGAGCTTCGCTGTGCATGTTGCTATGACAGAGTCCTACTTCCCAGCAGGCAGACACACCTGCCCATGCTGTGCTTGAGGTGCACATGATAGCGTATTGTGTGCGTGTTCTTTGGACAAGCTAAGGTGATAATAATATGGATACTGTTGTGGTAACTCTCAGCACTAATACTGTTACCTACCCTAAAAATGAAATTGTTTATCTACACTTATACATATAAACACCAGAATAATGGACTGTTTGTCTTCTAACCTGTTGTTGGCTCTGCTCCTCCAAGTTGAGTTTGACCTCCAGTGACTGTCTTGCCTCCAGAAAGGCCTTCCGATGCTTCCGGTCAGCCATGTAGTATGACATGACACCCACAGTGATGGCACAAACATAGATCACAATGTTGGCCAGCAGCTTGAAAGCAAAGAGAAGGCAACAGTTAGGGTTCAATATGAAAAGTACGTGTAAGTGCTGGCAGAGTAAGTGCTGATTGGGCACAAGGAAGGTTTCGAAGAGTGTAGCTTTATAAGAAACCTTTCCCACATTTAAAAAGGTTGCAGTTAAGTTTCTGCTGCACAAATTTTAACAGAATTTTCAGAAAATCACCAAAAAAGAAAAAGCTATATAATTTGTATTTCCCTCCCCTCCTGCTTTGAGAGTGTAAGCCAATAATCAGCAGGCGGAGCTGCTTCTCCAATCGCTGCCATTAAACCACAGCAGAAGAAGATAACAAGTTTTTATCAATGCATCAACAGTTCTACGATAACATCTTGTTAAACACTGATTTTTTTAAAGCCTTCCAAGGATAAAAGTGATGCAGTGACACACTGAAGCCAATCGACAACCAAACACTATGAGTTAGACAGCTGTAAACAATTCTGAAATGTCAATGGCGATTGAGTGCATGTCCTTGAACACAGGATCCACTCCAGATATGTTGTGGAATGGCATGTTAGAGCTCAGATTTTTGAGATTTTAGATATTGTTTCTCTTTCTGCTCAGTATAAACACATGTGATATCTATTTACAGGTACAAACGTTTACTTATCAGAACAGGAGCAGTTTCCATCACTGCCTTGTTTTCACAGATTTAACTAAAAGCCCCAATCAACTCATTGTTCTACATTTTTGTCAATGTCACCATATTCCATGGACAGACCAAAACGGCCCTGTTCAAACTGGGTATTTACATCCATCCTGAGAGATCCCATTACCAATAGACTGTGCTAAGTGCATTTGTTCACATCCGGCATTAAAATGCATCCTGAATTGGAGCCGACTTCTATACAAAAACATGTTGTTTTTTCCCACTCTGCCAATACAGAAGTCCTCATATTTAAGACTTTATGGTTAGAGTTAGAATCAGGTTTAGGTATAAGGTTTAGGTATAAGTCATGAAGATCTTTCATGAAGGAGGATGTACTGAAAGATTGCTGGAGCAGACGAACTTAGTTTCAGCTCTGATTCAGTTTCAGCTCACTGGACCTCAAGTGCCATTTTATAAATTCAAATGTTCACCTATTCCAATAATGACTTTTGAGTGATTTGCACTCTTGTTGCCATTTGTATAACCAATGATAAAGTTTGAGGTTGCTTTGCAGACTATATTTTGATGACCATTGATTTTTAAACGAAGCACTGAATTTGATCAAACACAGAAAAATTAAAATACAGATATGTCTGTGACAGTTTGGCCTTTGGAGCCTTTAAAAGCCCACAAACTGCATAATTAATTGGGCATCAGAATGTGCTAGTTTAATATATGCAGCATAGACGGATCCTCATTTGCTTGAGTATACATGTGCTATGTGCACTGAGCCAAAAGGTGAACTACATGAAGCTCTGCTCTTGCTTAGTTGTTAGCAGAAAACAAAACGACTGAATTACACCCTAAACTATTAGCATTAGATCTGCAAAACACTGTAAATGTCTTTAAAAATGTTTCAGTGTGTCTCTTTGTTTTTTTACTTTTTTTATTAAATTCAAATCTCTTTGCTTTAGTTCAAACCATTGTGTGTCTTTTAGCTTTGGTCTCTGGAGCGGGGCCATAACATTTAGCTGTTTAAGGTGAAGAATCAAAATAGCCAATTATCAGCAATAAGCTTTTTCCTGCTCCAAATCATTATTATAAATACCTTTAAAAAAAAGTTGGACTATAAAGTGTATTAATCATTAGTAAGTAGGTTCTGAATGACGGGGAAAGCAGGTTGCAATACATCCAGCAATCTGCTTTATTTATTGAATCATTCTCTTTCCTAAACTTATACTTTGAGCCTTTCCAATTAAGTATTGAATTGAAGTTTGTGTTATTCTAAACTTTGACACCAAGATTTTCATTCTAACTATAAATGTATAGTGGGGTCCAGAGGTCTGAAATAACTACACCCTACTGTAATATTGGTTCCAAATATCAGATATTGGCGTTTTTAATTACTAATAACTGTCCTATTGGTATCATTGTCAATCCCTATGGGTTGGGTTCTGGACCACTGCATCTATGGAGCTGCCTTCGTGTCCAAAGTCATCAAGACTTCTGGAAGCTTGAATAGTGGGAGGTTGTCTACACGAGATTACAAACAGGGAAGTTAATGCATATCAGGACAACCATGTAACCTAGGCTCTTTCTTCCATCTTTCTCACTCTTACCTGTCTGCCAAGTGCTGCCGCCTGGATGTCCTCCTGCTGCTGCTGGGCAATGGTGACACCCAGAACGAGAGTGTGGACCCCACAGGATACAGCAGTGATGAGCACGATGGGCGTCAGCCTCAGAGGCAGAGTCAGGAAGAAGGAGAAGCTGAAGAAAGCTTGCCAGCCCACAGTGTCGCTGGCCTGGTGGAAGCGAGCATAGTTTAAACCCAGATAGCAGAATATCTGAGCTGCTATGAGCACCCACAGGGCGTAGGGCACCACCCGTCTGGAGATGCGGTCTGGCAGCAGGCTGAAGCGGCACAGCAGGTAGAGGATAATATCTGCTGCCAGTCCCACTGATGCCACTAGAACAGAAGCCAGCTTGTCAGTGGTGTAGACCACCGCACACATGACGATGATGTAGCTGTCAAAGAGAGCAGCAAACACGACGAGCACGAGCAGGGTTTCATGTCTCTGCCGCCTGAAGTAAGTCTGGTAGAGGTTCTCCAGGGACTCTGGTGTGAAGGTGAGGCGCATAAACCGCGGCAGACAGAGGCAGCATCCTGAGCTCCGAACCGTGACCTCATGTGTTCGCCCCACAGCCTGCCCGGGGTCGGACGGCAATGTCACGGAGCAGTCCGCTGAGTACTCCGCTGAGTACTCTGGTTCAGAAAAGGCTCGGTTCCGAGGCATGGCGAACATTCACACAGCGTCTGTTTCCTGCTTTCTCTTAAATCAAAAAGTGAAAAGCTGTTTGTTGTCCCACAGGAGTCGATCCAACGCTGAGAGAACTCTCAGGTATACATCATCTGCTAAGTAACCACCATGCTCCCCTGAGAGCCCACATATGTGGCATGAATCACAGCAGCGTGTTGATTGTCTGGACCTCTGCACTGGACAGATGTCTTCTTACATAGCTGCGTCCGTGGTCACTCGATCCAGCTCTGTTGACTCACTCAGTCCTGTGTCATAGGCACAGATCGAGCCCGCCTACTCAGCAACGTGATCCAGAGAACGTGCCCTTTTGGTTTCCTCATTCAGCTTTACATGTGGGACTGCTGGACCAGCTCCTTTCCCCCTTTGTACTCTGCAGCTGTGGACCATGTCAGAGCTGTTGAATTCTTAAACACTGCATCAGGTAGGTTTATATTTTTATGGCTTCCTCTGCGTCCGTTGTTCCACAGGGTCGGGCAGCATTCTGATTTTTTGCCTTCCATGGTTGCATCTTACATGGCCTGAATAAAAAGGGACACACGAGGGAGAAATTCACTACAGCATCCAGCAACACCTGGTGAGCAGGAACAACACAGTCCCCGTCTCCTGCAGCTGAGGAGACAATGTAAAGGCCAACATCTGTCAGAACCCAGCTGTTTATTACAGCTTTTCTCTTCCTGCCACAACACAACAGATTCTTCTGAACCCTTCAAATATCTTGGTTTATTCTTAATACAAATCTAACTGCTTTCCCTGGCGTAATACAAATATCCCTGTGTTGAGGTGAGTGGCACAATGAAACAAATCCATGTCGAACATTTTAAAATGGCCTGTCTTGTGTGTGCCGAATTGAAAAATGACACCAAAGCTTTAATAAATTCACAAGTGATCTATGATGGAGGTTTACACTTTGGCAATAAAGCGAGGCGAGTGCAGATTGGCAGATTTGCTGCCGGGGTCTCTCCATACATGGGCAGGCTGTTCGTGCAGGCCTACATGTTGCGCTCAGTAAAAGAGGCTGTGAACACACTCTCTCCCACGGTGCTGCACACACAGTGTCACAGTGAAACACAGAGTCCGTGTGACACAGGACGAACCTGTGCAAATGTCTGCTGGGGCATCTCTCGTTCTGTCTGTGAGCATCTGACTGATTCTGATTTTCAGAGTCTCGCCTCTGCTCTCCTGTCGGATGCTGGAAGCTGACATTTTGTCCCCCTTCCTCCAGATGCTGAGAAAATCGTGAACATGATGCGAGCAGATGTGTCCGCTTACCTGACGGTGCAGCGTCACGTTACATCCACGCTTCGGCTCCTCCACGCGGACGGACTGGGGGACAGTGGGTGTCATCAGGCCACCGCAGCCTCGGCCTGGAGGAAACCGGGAGTCGGGTCTTACAAAGTCGCCTCGGCTGGCTCGCAGTCCCGCTCCTGCCGCTCCTGCTCCTGGGTGTTTTCCACACAAGACACGGAACAGGCGCCACGTCAAGTTACACACATTAGTAAACACGACACTTCCGGTCACTTTCGGAATAAAGCCTTTCTTTGCACGTGTGCCTCTTCGAATTGCCTTCAGTAACATTGACAGTGAAATATCTGCATAAAAATACCTTTACATACAATGACTGCACATACATAACTTTATATATACATATATAAATATATTATTTACTGCATATAAATATCTTTTTATACAATTATTTTGTATGAATATCTTTAAATACAATGACTGCATATAAATATCATTATTAATATATTAATATGCAGTGACTAGCTTCACAAATAGATGGGTATTCCTTAGAGCCCTCTTACTTTTATTTTGAAGGTAGATGTTGAGAGGCTTCCGCATTTACTCCAGGTTTTTATGAATAACTTAACTCGGCCAGCTCTCCAGATCAACTCCCCGCGTCCCTGCCCCCTTCCATCGTCACCCCCCCACCCCCCCGCTGGAGGGAATGGTCAGGACAAAAAGCGTCTTGAAGAGCAGATGCTCAGTCTGCAGCCTGACTCAGAGAAAGAGGGTTCATTCTTAATAACAGCTGGAGTAACAGCTGGATCGGATTCCTGCTGCTGCATCCACTCAGGCAGCTCCACACTTTGGTTGGGGTTTGGTGCCTTGCTCAAGGACACTCTAATGTTTTGAGAGGAATGTGCATCAACTATTTCCATATGCCTGAAGATGATCTTGGAGTTATTCTCCAGTGGCTGCTTACAGACATACAACTTTGTAGAGAGGCCTGAGCTTGAAAGCTGATGTAGCTGCAGTGCTTCAAAACACAGTGCATTAATGTGGAACCTGTCTGACACCAACTTCTTTCATTGACACCACACTGCCAGCAGGCCTCCATTGATTGTTCCACTGAAACTCCACTGTGATGCAGATTGTTGGTTATTGACCAGAAACATTTCATCAACATCATCTCCCAGCTACTGCATCCCAAACTGCATCAAGGTCACATTGCAAGAGCAGAAAAAAACCCACACATGGCTCATTATGCGGAACATGTCAACTTCAGCCTTGGAAGTAATGTTGAATTAAGATTTGTTTCAGACACGCTGTGGTCCACAGAGAATCACCGTGCTTGTGGAGGCATCATCACTAATTAATTTACCTCTGGAATCCCCTAATGATGTTACAGAGGGAGATGGATTACCACAGTGCAGCCTGCACAATAATTAATAAACTGTATGCTTCAGCATGAGGAGCATGAAGATTAGACTGCTTTGTGTTTGAGGAGAGAGGTGTTATGGTGTGTATGCTGACATATGAACAAATCAGACTAACTGATGAGTTGTGAGAAGAGGTCAGAGAGACAGAGAATTAAAGTCAGACTCCAGTCATTAATCTGATGACCTCAGTCTACTTGAAAAGAAAAAGATTGGACTTCAGGTTGATTTCAACACCATTGACTTGTGACTGCCCTTTGACTTTTAACTGATACCCAACAAAAAGCACACAGACTTAGAGTTCCCATGTTCATTTCCCTGATATGCTTGAATCATGTTGCAGAGCAGGCAGATGAAACTCAAACTCAGTAATCAACTGAAACACTTCATGCTTATGCTGTCTCACTAATAAAGAATGATTAATTAATTAAGTTATTTGTATAAAACAAAAACTAGAAATAGAAGGGCACTTGAGCACATACTTCTACCAAGGACTGATTAGATTTCAGTGGTTGATTGAATCTAGAAAAAAGATGAGTTCCTGCAGGAATCCTCAGGGACAAACCGTGCTTCTGAGAGGAACTTTCACAAGGTTAATACTGTCCTGGACAAATGCTCCCATGTTAGATATATTACATATAACTGTAAAAACAAACAAATTAAGCCTACACAATGATGCATATAAAGAAAAAAAACTATTTGATCACGTGGTTTAAAACTAACCACAACAGAGAACGTGCGTGCAGTGACGTCAGCGCGCAGGGTACGTGTTGCTGACGTGTACTTAGGGAAGTGGCTGCCGGCTACGTTTAGCTGTTAGCCTTTAGCTCTTCCTCGTCACCAAAAGACTTTCTCGCCTGCAGCTGAGCGTACTTGGTAGAACAGCAGGGCCGGACTAACCAGAGCGGCTGGGCACAGGTAGGGAGCCTCTGAACACACCACTGGGAGCAGCCTAGCCGGCTGCAGTGCTAGCTATGCTAACTGCTCCTGTAGCTATCTGATTTATAGAGACACATCGGCTAGCTTAGTTTTTGATATCGTGTCCCCTTATATCTGCGGATAAGAGTCCGTGGTTGTGGAGGAGAAGAGAGAGGACAGACAGATTATCTACCGCACTCGTCGCTCTGACATCCGGGAGACTGTGATCCAGACGCTGGTGTCACGGTCTGAGCTGGTTAAACAGAACTCTCTGTTCACCTTCAGTGATCATGTCAACACAGGTGTCCACTCATGTTCTCTGCAGCTCAGGGAACTGTACAGGGCAGCACGGTTTAATCCAGAACAAAGCTGGAGGATGTCATTCATGCTTTTATTTCCTCTCGTTTGGGTTATGAAGTCTCTCTCCACCTGCCTGTGCCAACAGACTCCACATAGATCACAGCTCGACCAAAACGCAGCAGCCAAGCTCCACTACATCTACTAACACAGAGCATGGAGCTCTGACATTGATTTCCAGTACATTTCAAAATTGATCTTATTGCTATCCATTCTGGACATGCACCTAACTACATTTGAGATCTTTTGACACCATAATAATAGTTTTATTTGTATAGCATCTATTAATACAAGAAACAAAGTGCCCATATGTGCCCTGTCATAACCTGAGGTCCTCAGCGAAGGGCCTGCAGGGACCAGAGGAGACAATCTCTATGAGGAGATCCATCCTGCAACCTCTCCTGAAAACACAGCAGCTCATAAGGTCGCAGTCACAGGCAGGCCTTTGTCCCTTCATGCAGAAATCTACAGCGATATACGTTACATAGATGGTTGTAGAATATCATGGGTGTATTACAGTCCCACCTTCATGAACGCTTTGTTTTTATGGATTTGGGACTGTCTCATATAGAAGTTTAAGGGGTAAGCTGTGCACTGCAAAGAATGTAACTAGACTTGCCATCAAAAAACAGTTACATTACATTTCCATTAAACAAATATTACCTCTGGCCCCCATTCACTCCTACCGAAGTATGGGCGACAGTCGCATTGTTTCTGTTCAAGAAAATCTACCTTTGCTGAGTAGTAAACAAGATCAGAAAGACCTCAGATGGTGACAGTGATGCTGCATTTCCTGGTCTGGTATTGTGATAATGCTGGAATAATAACTTTTATAAGACAGGATTTTTATCTGCACAAAGTTGTGACCTGTGTAGCCAGGCCACTGACTCAAGATGATTGAATATATATATATATATATATATATCATAACAAAGCAGCAGATCTTGACATTTAAGATCTTGGAAACATGTTAGATATTTTTGCACAACATATTTTTGAAGTCGTTTTCAGAGTAGCTGATTAATTTGCTGTAGATGAAGTAATTGATTATTATTTTATTTTTTTCAGCTTAACACTGCATAGTTCTAGTGGCCTAATGTTAATAGAAATGGGTTTTGAGATTCTACCAGACACAATTTCTGCATATAGAGTTATCATCGTCTTATTTCCTTTAGCTGAGACTGGGTGGATTAATAATGACTGGGCACTGTATATGAAAGCAGTTATAACAGTCCCTCATTACACTCATGTCTCAGTATGTCGAGTACTTCTATGTGTGATGACTCCAATTACAGGATATACATAGCTGTTCGAGGGGAGAAGTCTCCTCTTTGCGCACCCAGCAGATTGATGTCAGAAATAAACGCTCTGTTTTCTACAGGTGGGGTTGAATACAGCAGCTTTATGAAGAAGAGAGAGTGACTTGCACAGAAAGTATGGGGAAGAAGAGGTTCCCAGATCTGTACAGAGCCCCTTTTCCCTTATACACCATTAAAGTTGACCCCAAAACCGGGCTGGTGATCACAGCAGGAGGAGGTGGTGCCTCCAAAACGGGCATAAAGAATGCTGTGGTAAGTACGTAGCATCAACTGATTTAGTGTTTCAACTGTCCTTTTGATAATAATGCAACACACTGTGATTTAAGAACAGAAATAAACACACAGAAAACAGGAGATTTGCTTATTTGGCTCATTTCAGCTTTCTGGAGCTGTGGTTTGTTGCAGCAGAACATTAAAGAATATGATTACATACTGCATATTAATTGCAAAAGAAACACTCAAACACGTGAAGGTTGTGATCTTGCCTTGTTAACAACACATTAGGTTCAGTCTTAATAGAAATTTGGATCCCAGACATATTTAGTGTATAAACCATTTGCATCAGTAGCTGACTATGACTATTTTTCAGCACTTTCTTGATCTAGAGCTGGTTGGAGAACATCGGTACAGTGCCAGCCTCCTTCACGCTCATGATACCGACACACGAGCCACCATGAACATGGCTGTAGGCGATGGTGTGATTGCTGCAGGACAGGATGGGACCTGCAGCCTGATGAGGTTTCAACACTGCACAAAGACAGAAGGAGGCAAATCTGCTGCCAAAGATGGTGAGGCTCTCTGCTACAGTCTGACATATACCTGCTGTCATTAAAAAAATGGGCTGCATATATTACGCTTAGTGACATGTGGCAGGCACATTTTCAAGGTTTATGTGTGTGTTTCAGCAATTTTTAAAATGTGCAGGTACTGGTCAGTTTAGAATAGATGAAGTTAATATCCAACAGAGGATATGCACCGATGGAGCTGCGTTTAGTCTTCTACTGCTTCTGTACCAAACATTACATTTACTCTATAAGACCTTCATTAGTTGTATGTTAGCTAAAATAAAGTATGATTAGCATCTGTAACAGTATGGCAGAAGTTATTGATTATCAGAACTTCACAAAATGTCAGCATCATGCATCATTTTTCAGAACTTCATTTAAAACACAGTGCAGTGAATTTCAGTCTGATTAAAATGAGGCCTTGAAGAGATCCACATAGCCACAAAGTGTTGCAACAACTGGTTGTACCACATATGTGCAGAGATTCAAAGCACAGGATTAAGAAAAGTTAGTTAATTCAAATACATATGCTACAATTTAACTTGTGTCTAATGTCACAACCCCCAGTAACTTTGACTTGTCTGTGCAGCAGGGAACAGTGTGCAGCAGGGTACTGCCAGGCGGCGAGCTGGGAAAGGAGACAAAGTTGGAAAGGATGGAGCAGCAGCCTCTGGAGAAACGTCTGATATGAAGGATGAGACAGCTAAAATCTCTGTGACTGGTTTGGCTCAAGTACAATCAGACCTGAATCCTCAGGACCCACTCCAGAAGGTGGTCAGCTTCAGTTCTGACCTGAGCCTCCTGCTGACAGGAGGCACAGACGGGCACATACGAGTCTGGGAGGTAAACACTGTCTAGTTGTACTTTTCACCTAAAGTGAAAGTCCTATCCATTTTACATGTCCACCTATTGGGAGGTAGAAAATTAAGGAAGATGCTAAATGTATTTCATAAAACCTTTGCAGACTGACCAGCCATAATGGCTATCCATACTATACTGGGGAATTTGAGTGTATTATTTATTGAGGTTGAGTTTGTTGGACTGTAAAGCTGTAATTATGTGATTTCAGATAGCAGTAATGTAACTGCTGAACAAAATGTTATCAAAACCCATACTTTTTTGTTTTTTACATTGTAAGCAATTGTTTTTAATTTAACATATGCTTTGTTCAATGAATCAATTAGATCTATTTGTTCAGCCCATATTTACAAATCCCAATTAGTCTCATAGGGCCTAACGAGGTGCTGAACCCTCGGCCCTCCTCAGAGTGAGGAAAAACTGCTGTAAAATGTAGAAACCTCAGAGAGACCCGCATGTGAGGGATCCCTCTCCCACAACAAAAAGAAACGCAATTAGTTCTATGTTGTTGTCTGGAGCTTGATGCATTGTTCTTGACTCTCGTACAGTTTCCATCAATGAAGAAGAAGTTTGACTTCAAAGCACACGAAGGGGAGATAGAAGACTTGGATATGAGTCCTGGGAAAAAGGTGAAGTACTGACAGCTTTAGGTGTGGAAATTTAATTTACACTCTGAAAAATGACAATTTGTTGATTAATTAATTAATTAATAGCTATGTTGTGTTGCATTCTCATGCAGCACCTGGTGACCGTTGGCAGGGACTTTGCCTGCAGTGTATGGAGCGGCAACCAATTGGCAATGAATCTGAAATGGCATGAAACCCTTCCTCAAATGGCTGAGAAGACTTATCGATATATGGCTTGCAGGTATCTTCTTTTGTCAAAAAGCATCCCAGCTTTTCCCCTCATCATATCTCTGTGGATGATGTGAATATACAGACTATGCCAAGTCATATTTCTTGTGGTTTTCAGGTTTGGAAAGGTAGAGGACCAGAAAGAGGCCCTGAGGCTTTACACAGTGCAGATCCCCCATAAAAGAGACAGAAGACCACCTCCCTGCTACCTCACCAAGTGGGATGGCAAGAGCTTTTTGCCTATGATGACGGCTCCCTGTGGCAATGAAGTTATCTCCTGTCTGGCTGTCAGGTAACTGATAGATTCATTTTTATAACATGTTAATCATGAGCAATGGAGCAAGTACACCAAATGTTTCCCAATTATTCAATATGGGAGGGGGGTGTAAAATTGTGGTTTTCCTACCCCACTTTTAAAATAAAATAATATCATGCTTAACTCATTTGAGCATCTTATTTTAATGATCATTTTAATATTTTCAGCAATTAATAAAACAATGGATTACTTAATGTAATTCCTGGTAACAAAGTGAGGTGTTGAGCTATGGGAATGGCCTCAGTGTGACCAGCTATAGAGGCTCCAATGACACCACGTCTGTCAGTGATAGACAGGTTGACCTGTGCTTGGAGTACGCCCCCCCCATATTACCACAATGGATCACTGGATTAATCCCCTCTTGAATCATTCTACTCAATTTCTGTTAAGCTTATATACAAGAAAGTGGTTTGAAACACCTCACTACGTTATCAAAGAGTTTTCCAATGTTGTTCAAGGTTTCACTATTGGATATATAGAGCCCTCCCGGATAATGAGTCGGGTATCATTAACTGGACCTTGGAGTGTTTAAATCTAGCGCTGCTTGTGCTCGGGATGGCCCAGAGACCTCCAGCCTGTAAAAACATATAAAAGTTTGCCACAGCACAGATAGGCATGGAGACTCCCCTGCACAGAGCACACAAAGAGTAACAGTGGTCACATGTATACTGTTCTGTTTTACTTGGAAACGTTAATCAGACTGTTTTATGTCTTGTCTTTGACAGCGACTCCGGAACATTCCTTGGCCTTGGAACTGTAACAGGATCAGTAGCAATCTACATCGCTTTCTCCCTTCAGGTAAAAACAGCACAGACACACATCTCAAAGTGCTTCAACCGACCACGTTTCCCTGTTGTATGATGGTAACTTGTTTTTATTTGTGTTTGTGTAGAAGCTATATTATGTACAGGAGTCCCATGGCATTGTTGTGACAGGCCTGGCCTTCCTGCCCGACTCAATGAAAGGCAAAGATATCATAGGGAATAATGAAACGGCCATGCTGAGTGTTGCTGTCGACAGCCGCTGTCAAGTACATGCTGTCCCCAACCGAAGTAAGTCCTCCATCATCATTAAGTGTATACACTAAGAACACATGCTGTAACGTCAGACCCTCTTTGCCCATCTCTTGACCTTTTGTGTTGTCCCTCAGGGTCCTTTCCTATCTGGCTGGTGCTGTTCTGCTGTGGCATCATGGTTGTGGGAGTCATCCTCCTCCTACAGTACCTCTTTCCAGGATTTATTTAAATACATATAAAATGCAAAGGCTGGCGGAACATGGACACATCTTCACATGGCTTACTTTGCCTCTGTCAACAACAGTCCTCAGTCCAACATCCAAATGTCTCAGTGCTGAACTACAACTCGCAGCTAAGCCACAGCTGACGCGTTGACTGAAGAGCTTTTATGACGTCCTGACATTGTCAACCTTCAACTCTTCTTCAGGGTTTAGTTCCTCTACGACCTGTAAACCCAGTGGAATCAACCCTGGAAAGAATGTGGAATTTTACTCACTTTGATTTCTATCAATTATTCTTAATCTTTTTTGGATTCATCATGGAGATTTGAAGGACTCAGATTCATGAATGTTTAAAGGGTGGGATCTTTTTATTGACATATTTAAGGAACAATGTAAAACGATAAAAACAATTGGTACATAATTTGTCCAATTTTGTTTTGTCTTTACACACAGACACTTTGAATTTGCCATTTTCTTTGAAATATTGCTTCCCTTGCTTTTTAAGTCTCTCCATTTTATCCACTGAGTAATCATAACACACAACATTGTGTGATTTGATATTATACCAATAGGTGTGGGAATACACCGATGTCTGTAAACATAAACAATAGTAATATACAAGAATAAAAGCTGTGACATTACCACTTTTAACTGAATACAATGGAGATGTTCAAAACTATGGGTAAAGTTGATTCTGATGATGTAAGTAACTATAATGATGTTTATGGAAGAAATTAAATATTAATAAGAAAGGTAGTTTCATGATTTCTATCAATCCTCTGATGAAAGGAACGCTCCTTGACAGTTAATCTGAAATATATTTCAACCATCCTGTAAAAGGTTAATATTCATGTTACAGAGGAAAAATGGAATGGCACACATACAATGTTGTTGCTGTGTACAGACATCAAGTTCACTACTTTTTAGATGCATTAGTAGAAACAAAATGCCCAGTTTGGGAGTAGGTCACCTAAAATATTGTGTTCTTTAAACTCCATATAATAAACAAAAAATGACTTTCTAGTAGCATACAAAAATGATAATATGACTTTTTTTGGATTACATCATAATCAAATATTGTGCCCTGTACAAAAAAAATGATGCAATCACAATTTTGTTTCTGTTTTTTGTTTTTGTGCCATATATATATTTCAGGTGAACAAGGACATGTTGTGTGTTATCACTGCTGACTATAACACAACAGTCAGAGAACTATTGTTGTTAACGTGAGTCTACACACTGCGTCATTAACAGAGTAATGCTGGCTATAGCTGAAAACAGTTTCCTGATTTTAACAGCGTATTGAACAATGTTATTACAGTTATCAATCAAATCAAAGCACACGGTCTTTACTCAAGTCTGTTTGAACAGCTCTAGAGGAAATGGATGCAGAGCACAAACACCTCCGGTTAAACAGAAATCAGGTGGTTATCCAATGAGATTACTGGCCAGAGTCTGAGGTAAGAGCCGGGCCAGAGATTTCTTTCAGAGGAAAGTCACCGATGGAAGCACATTTCAATGACTCAGTCACAAAACTCGTTCACCTGAGTGACATATTCAACCGACTCAACAAACTCAATCTGTCGCTTCAGAGGAGAATTACATCTATAGTGTTGTTAATGCTAGGTTGACATGCAGTTTAGTTGTGTTGGGATATAACTGTATGTGTGTTAAATATATTACTGTCCCTGTAATATCTTTTAGTCTTGATGCACTTTGGAACCATATTTTTCACTATTTATTTAACTACGATTGTTACTATTTAACTTCATTTAACTTTTCTTATATGTAGATTTCTGTCTTTTTGTTTTCATGCACATTTTACAGGCTTATCCAGCCATACATGGAAGGGTTCATATGTTATGTCTTTTTACTTAAAAAAATAATAATCATTTTAAAAAGAGAAAATCCATTACAATTGGTATTGACTGTAATTCCAACCAAAACCATGGCAGTGTGACCTATAGCAGGATTTGGCGGAAGGAGAATTTCTTCCTTCTATCAACAGGAAAGTGCTGAGCCATCGACAGTACTGAGGCTGTCATAAATCTTTAGTTAGAAGACACAGTTCCTGTCTCCTGCACAGGAGGATCCTCACATTGAACTGATAGTTTGCTGCAAATACAACTGATTTTGGTATATGTGGTTTTGAGCCTCATGATGATCCCCAGCCCAGTTTACTGAGACCTGTTGGCCTGAAGAAAACCAGCAGGACTGAAGACCTGGAGTCACTGATGCTGGCTCTGCACCCATTGTACTTTTGTCTGATACAAAGTAAACACTAGCCGCCTGATAAGTTACTTTATTTTCCAACAGGTGGCACCATGTCCCTGCTAAGTGTGCTGTAGTGAGTAGTGAGGTTTGGATGACTCAGTGTTAATGTAACCTATATTTATTTCTCTGGCAGCTCATACACTGTGGACTGTCATTGCCCAGGACATGAATGTCTCTGTGTGAAGTGAAACCTTTACCTTAATTGTCATTCTACATTTCAGTGCAAATAATGCTCTGCAGAACACATGAGTATAATAAATAAAAAGCTTTTGATTGAGAAGGAATAAAAACGAAAAAACAGGGTATAACAGGAAATGTACTCACACAATATGCAATCTTAAATATTCAATATTTGCTATATCCATGTAATAAATGGTATTTAAAGTTGTTACTTTTTAAGCACAGGTGAATGTTATTGATTGACAAAATCAAGAAAGGATTCAACCTTAACACTATTAGACAGATCCAAGCAAGCCAAACTAATAATACAACTATGGTCCCACTGTAAAATTGATGGACTGATATGTAAACAGCCTCAAACAGCAGCTCTGGGTTGAGCAGTGAATTTGATTTGGTGACACACAATGATCCAAAAAGACAATTTCTCATTCACAGTCATTACTGTTAGTGGCTGACAAATCCTACAATTACATTAAAAACTATGTGTAAAACAAATTTAAATAAAACATTTTTTCACACAAACACCCTGAACTCTTTTGAACCATTCCTTTGAAAAGTCTGAATAGTTTTTCGGTTTGTCTGCACTGGTTCGGCCACAGAAACACAGAAATGCTCCTTCTCAATTCTGCCTTAAACCATGGCATCCATTTGTCTTGATGATTTTACATCTCTGATATTTCTACCTCCAGCCAATACAACTGAGGTCAATGGAATTTAGTGTGCCATGTTGAAATGACTGAAGAAACACCATCTGTCTGCCTCTCGCCTCACATGTGAACACTAGATATGGTATGGTGCTGCTATCAGAGTTTTGAATGCTTTCCAGAGTGTGAGATATGATTCATAAAGCATGTTTCCACTATAAATGCAGACCTCTCTTGTTGCTGCTTCACTTGAGCTGAAGATCAAGCATTTCAAATTAAAGAGGAAAAAATACTCTCTCAGATGAAAACAGTGTCCTGGAGTGAGAGGCATATAAAATACTAAATGCCCTTTAAAGGCATAAGTGAGCATCAAGGATAATATGAAACAGAGATGTACGACATTAGCTGCCAGCGTTGCTCTGTCAGCTACTACTCTGGAATCCTGGGAAACATTCACTTAAATCCTATGTTAATTGTTGTCATAAATAACACTGACAGATGAAGGTGTTTCTTCAAGACTCTGTAAAACTTGAAATGCATTATCCATTTGAGATGTTTCTCTGTCATAGCAGAAACCCTACTTGTTATTGCATATTGCCTACCTGAATGGGACCAGACCATATGTGTCTGTGACTGATTTGTTCTTGTGAAACGTCATCCGTCACGGTCCAAGAGCCGTTCCAATTCACTCAGGGCATTCATACTTCAATTTTGTCACAACTTGGCTGTGACTCTGTGTTTTCTGAGTGTCTCTCTGTTTTTTCCTGTCTTCCCCCATGTCTCCTCATCCGCTGTGTGTATTTTTGTGGACGTTGGGTGTGGCTCCCCTCACCTGATTCATGTTTAACCTTCACACTTGTTCCAGTATTCCATTTTACCTAGGACGGTTCCTAACTGAGTCAAATGACCAAAACGTATTTCAGAGGCCGCCATAATAAGAGCTGTTTGAAGACTCTAAATGATAAAGAATTGCACTTCAATACTTTTTAACTTATCTCCTTTAGCATAGGAACCATCATTTATGAAAGCAGTGGAGAAGTCCCACAATTCAATGCAGGAGTCACAGTGAACAACACGCTGGGGCTCAAACCACCAACCTTCCAAATAGTGGTCGACTTTCTCTACTGCCTGAACCACAGCTACGTTTACAGCACAGTAGCTCCTGTGTTGGGACAGAGTCATAATCTGGTTTTGTGACGCAATGTGGATCATGGTCTGGTGGGTTAGCAGAGTGAAAACACACTCACTCACTCACTCATCCACTCACTCACTCATCCACTCACCACAAGCCTCCACACGTTGACGTAAGTCACTGGGCCTTTTGGCTCATGGTTTGAGTGAGTGGGAAAGATGTCACACTGCTAAAAATGGATGACAACTGCACACGCCAGAGACCAAAGCCACACAAACAAGAGGGAAAAAAGCTGGCCACACTTTATTTAAAGTGCTGCGCCAAATGTAACAGAGGTCATACAAGCACTTTGAGTACCATGACTACAATAGCAGTATGATATACTGAGCACAGTGTGAAAACTTTGTAGGTCGAGTAGAGTTAACTATCAAGACAATGATGATATTAACATCAATATAACTTAGTCTGCTGTCATCCATATTAGAAACACCTCTCGATATGAAGTTATTTTCACAGATAAGAGTTACAAAGTGCTTTACAAGTTACAATACAAATTATGGTGCACATAAATCCTCTGAATGGCTGTTTAAACAAATATGTTTTTAAGTGGACTTTGAATGAATCCACAGAGTCAGCAAACCTTAAAGATGTAGGTAGGGTTTTCCACTTTGGTGCTAATGTCTCAAACCTCATTTTAAGGTACTATACACAAATTGGAGGCAATAGTGGTGCACTGGTGGTTCACCACAGGACACCACTAAATATTGCTTTGGTTTACTACATTCAATGAAGAATTATATTTTCCAGGGAGAGTGGGTGCACATGTTAGATGACTGTAGAATTGTTCGTGTGAGGAAGACTTCATATTCATTATATTCATTTCAAGAAGTGCTCATTTCGTTTTGGGCACAGAAGGCTTCACCTTTGATTTATTGTTCCAAACCACTTGTGTTGCTGTGTATCTGGTCGTGACGTTCTGTCCTCCCCAGTTTACATCATCACCAAGTTCGTGGTGGTTGAGGGGCCTTTTCATTGAAAGTCAGTGGTGTTTCTTTGAACCAAAAGCCTTCAATTTCTATTTTGGCAAACCAGATAGAATGAAGACTGCACACTCCTGCTCCCTCTTTGCTCTTTGTGTCACAGGTTCCACCGTGGGACTAAATTAAACAAATGAAAGGGATACTGTGCATACACCCTTCTTTCATTTAGGGATAATACAAAGAATTACCTTGTATTTAATAGTCGTAAGACAAATATGGAAAAGCAAACAAGGTCCTATTAGGACTAAGCTTTTGGTTTCTGACTAAAGGGGTAATGAGACAAAGAAAATGACAGGGAGTGGAGCAAGCATGTTCCACTGTCTGTCTGGGGCCGACTGCCTCTCTCTGTGGGTGACTTGAACTCTCCCTCACCACAGAGCAGACTGAGGCACCATGAAGCCACACAGTGGGAAAAATGATACTGTGACAGCATAGGAACAGGGTCATCACACACCGCATGAACCACTGG